CGCGTGTGGTGAGGCGGGCGGAGCGCCGCCGGGCTGCGCTGCATTCCAGGTAAGGGCCGCTGAGGGCCAGCACGCCCACAGGCCTTGCTACGGAAAGGAACGGCAAGGAAACGCTCCTGACGGTTGCAAAAGCGAGACAGAGCGACCGAAATGTTTTGTTTGTGTTTTTTTTTTTTGTTCCTGGTAGGGTGTTTGTTTTGCTGTCGTGTGTTTTTTGTTTTTTTTTTTTTTGTGGTTTTTTTTTTTTTTTTAAACCTGAGCAAGTTTTGCGTATCAAGCAGCTTAGTTAACTTTATAAGTAATGATCAATAAGGAATTAGTACACGGTAAGTGGCAAGAGCCAGCTGTTCCTTTGGTTACCGCTACAAACAGACACGGGCAACGCGGGTTTACCCACACAGCATGGGATACTGGGTGCAACAGACACCCCCGCCCCCATCACAGCTCTTAAATACTGTTAAACACCTTTCACTGTTGTTTCCTTGACTGTCCAGTTGCAACTTGTTTTCAAGCAAGGTCACGTTTTGTTCATACTGCAGGCTTAAGGTCTTCTCCAGAATAGCAGTTTCTCTGAAGAGGTTATATTAATTAGCTCAAATGTAGCCTCAGTTTCCTCCAGGGTAAGATCTTGAAGCCCAAATCTTTCCAGAACTGGTATTTTGAAGCATAGGTAACAGCAGGGCAGATTATGTTAAGTTACAAATTGTTTTTGATACAAAACCAAAAAATATCCCCTATTAGCATCAAGAAGGCATCAAAGTTTTAAGTCTCATTATAAAACTGTACCAGCATTTTTACTGAAAACAATACAGATCTTGTATATATTTAGTTTTGGTTCTGTTCTTGATAAGCAGTTGTGCGACAAGTTACCAAACCCCAATTGTGGTTCGCTGAACCTCAGTACAAATCACATGCATTACAAGTACATAAATAGATCTTAGTGACCCACTATCAAAAATACTATACAAAGAACCTCAAGTATCCTAAAAATCAACCTGTTCATGAAAATTCACACTTAATACATCAATTCTCCCTGAAAGTAAAGGTGGCAAGAGCAGTAGACGACAGGAACAGAGAAGATATTGCAGAATTCTTGTCTGAGTTATTGCTATGTGTAGATTACATCAAACGTAATCTGTTTTTTTATTAATCCTTGAAATGTCAAATTGTATCAGGACTTCCCAAAACAGAGTTAAGAAAAAAAGAGCAGTATTTATAAAAATAGCATCCCCTCAAGTTAGATAAATCTTTATAGAAACAAGAAAGAAATCAGTTATTCTATCAAAAAAATTAATTTGGAGTGTATGTTCCTGAAGCGCCAGCATAATATCCTAATGTTAAGGACTTCAACTACAAAAGTCTTCATAAACATACCTGCAAAGTTATGCCCCATGCTTACCATAAGCAAGTGTCAAAAATCATGCACTTAAATTGTGGACTCACACATGTCCTGTTGTCAGCTACAGAAGATCTTGCATTTGAATCTCAAATGGCAAGAAAATGGTTTAGTGCCAGCTTCTACTTCAGTGTTTAGCTCAGATAAAGATAGATCTAAACATAGCAATTTAAATAACACATTTATCTGAGGTTAAGAGACAAGACAGTATGGCTTAAAGGTACACTACATAGAGTAAACGCTACAACTGTGTAAAGAGGTAACAAAACCTGCCCTCTTCTGCAACAGTATTAAGTGTAAAGTTTCAGAACTTTAGGAAACATTACAAACTACAGTTCTTTTGTGGTAAAGTAACCAGAGAGGATTTGAGGATTTCAAAAACCAGTTTGAAAATCTATTAAAACATAACAGGTTTAGAAACTAACTTTTTTAGTGTTTGTAGCATTATAACTTTGGTGTTCAGATCTAGCAGATCAGCATATTGCCTGTAATCAGCCTCATCAAAACAGATGTTCTATAATGAAAAATATTAACTCAATTTTCAATGGCAGACTTGTAGGATCTGACATCCCACCATGAATCACAGGAATCAGAGCACTGTCCAGTTCATTCAGATAGTTCTGTGGAAGAAGGTAACCTCCAGATCCAGCTAAGTACTCAACCTAGAAGTAAAACATGTTGATATTAACACTTTATATTAACAAGACAACACAAAAAGTGCAGTATCTTGACAAAACACTATTTTAGCTAGCATGAAGTGACAAAATAACACTTGAACACTGGCAACTGGATGGGCTTTGAGGTCAACCATGCAGTACTAGGTTTGCCATAGAGAAGCATGCAACATTCCCCGTGGGTTTACAGGGCCACACATCCTCTGCATCCCAGAATACTTCAGTCTGATTTCCAAGACCTGATCTGATTATTTAATAGTATCACAGTTACAAATTGATTAATTTCAAAACATACTATGGAAAACTAGATTTACAGGACTATTTCCAGATTCTTTCAAAAAAAAGTAAGGAAGTATAAGAAAGAACACCTTCAGAGGCAAGGAACTGAACTATTCTACAGCTTTGTAAATCTTTTGAGGGGCATCACATGTTGGATAGCCTTGCCTCCCCTCTCTTTCATCCTCAACTGGGCACACATGTCCTTTTACACTGTAGAGTTCGGTGCAAATATCCCTTACTGAACTACATTAGGGAGAAAACCATCAGGAAAACTACATGCTTCAAGAAAAGCATCAAAAATTAACAATATGATTCTCTAAATCAACTCACTTTGGAGGCACACGAATGCCAGAGGGAGTTAGAATTAGGGAAGGACTGACAGATTACTGCAAGCAGTTATCAGGGCATTTGGGGAGAAAAAGGAAACAGGACTATTCATTTCAAGAAAAGCTAGTCATTAAGACAACTTCTTTATGAAATTTAATCCTCAGCCTGAATTTAAGGTAGGGCAAAAACCTAAAAACATTCAAAAAGAGATCCAAGGTTTTTTACAAGAAAGATTTTAGTTGAAATGGAGTATCTGCAATAAAAGTTGAAAGATTACCATATCTAAGTCAATAGAAACTCTTAGGCCTATCTTACTCATCCCGTTATTTTTCAAAGTTTTAAGGTGTGGGCAAAGGGCGGTACTGCAGGCAATAGCAATGTCTTTAGCAAACTGGTGAGGAACAGCACTGGATAGCTCATGGTCCTTTAGAAAATAGTATACCTGGAATTATAGAAAGGATAAGGACAGTCAGCAGGCCAGTTATATTACAAAACTAGGAAAAAGAGTAATTCTGTAGACACATAATGCGGAACAGAGCAAGCTGCAATGCTTGTTTGCTGGCCAAATACTCCAGTATTTTATCTATTAAACCAAAATACTTAAACGATCATGGGAATAACTGGATCATATATTTATGGAGTTATCAATGCTAACAGACTTTTAGTCTTTTTTAGAGGAGAGAAATGAAAAGTATGTAAGTTTACCACAGAGCTATAGAGAACATTCTGCCTATCAGTATAGCTATACATCAAATAAGTTAGTTTCTTTAGTACTATCACTTAGTATGATCACTTTGCCATTTAACTATTCTAAAATGTAGCAAATAGGCTCAAGAATAATGTAATTTACTAACTTCAGTACACTTCATGACTTTCCCCTCTCTTTCAAAGTCTCTGCCTTGTGGTAATTTTTCACTCTGAGTTCCATCCATTGATATTCCATCGATCGGGCTTAAAATTCTACAGAAGAGAACAGTATAGTTAATAATTAAAATATTTTATGATTTAGATTGAATAACTTGTATGAAGTAATGTTTAGCCATCCTTAAATGCTGTTTAAACAGCTTTACAACAAAATGAAATACAGGACTTGCATCATGAAAATACAGATGCTACAAAAAGAAATATCTTAAATAGGGAACAAACAACACTCAATAAAAACCTGATCTTATGGGTTAAAGAAGCTATGAACTGTCTTAGGTAAAGTCACTGTTTGTTCTAATTGGTCAGAGAAGTCACAGAAAAAGGCATACCACATCAAGCCTGTGGCCTGAGAAACAACTTAAGATGCAACAAGTTTTGAGTTAGCGATGGATGTTTAAAGTTTGAAGCTACATAAACAAGCATTCAAATCACATCCAGCAAAGATGCCTTGCATCTCATTTTGCTTCGTTGAATGCTGGCATTCCAAACAGTGAATGCACTTCTAAGCCGAATCACCCCCAAAAAGGAGCTTAAAGGGATTAACTGCGTCCTTACACAAACTGATTCACACACTTTTCCTGACAACTTCCTGAACAGAGAAAACTGTATTGATTTTGGTGAAATTGTTCTGTTACTGACATCTAGAGGATTGCAGGTAGTTTACTGTTCAATTCCCTTTCAGGTTTTAGTATCAAGTACTTTCTTTCAATAAAAATACCACAGATTAAAGAAATTCAAGTGGATATTTCAAAATTGGAAACAAGAACTTTCTAAGGTGTTTTGCTTTTGGAATACATTTACCCTTTATTTGTTTTTTCTTCATTTTCTACCCAGCAAATGTCTACATATTCCTTTACGTCTTCTGGATCTGTTTTGCCACAAGTTATTTTGAAGTCCTTCTTGTCTTTCAATGCCTGACGTAGGTTTTCCATAGTTTCTGCTGTTATTTGTACCATTAGTCCATCTAGAAGACAACCAGTTAAAATTCCAGCTTCTCTACAGAAAGAATAGCGTAGCTTTTTAGTAGAATTTTGGCTGAAATTCTAATGGGACCAACCCTCTCCTACAGCTTGTTAATAAATGCACATCAAATGGACTCCACCCCCCCAACTACAGCATTAAATGTTACAGGAAAGAGGAAGTAATTAAACCTTTCTTGACAACAAAACTAGGACTAAAAGATCATTTTTAGACTAATCTTATAAGGTTTTTTGCATTTATGTGTCAATGTATGA